GTGTATAATATATTATGTAATTTTAATATTTCTAACAGCCATCACAAGCATCTTAACAATTACATTAAGAACTTAATAAATATTATTAATAAAATTGAACACAAACACAATTTTAACCATTCCTATTCTGCAATTCCTAAAAATTTAAACTGAAATAACAAAACCTGTCTTCAAACCMGTTTAACTGCCTTCAATTCCTATAATTTTAGTCTTAAGTAACAAAACCTGTCTTCAAACCATACAAACTGMAGGGGATGGGCCRCCTGTGTTAWAATTTCAAATCTTATCTAAATTACAAAACCTCATACATGTAAAATGTCCTATTTTCAAATACCTTTCTAAAATACCTAGAGAAGTTTCTCTGGTCATACCTAATAGCCTCACAAAATCTAGACATATTTGAGTGCACAAGSCCTTCCTCAGYCTCCCCTCCCTCAAKAACATGACCATTGTCAAAATCTAGTATATCTTTAAGTCTGCATCCTTGTGCTTGTCTTGAGTAACAAATGCTATTTTCAAGTATGATGTAGTTGGCACCATGTTTTCTCAGAATTGCATGGACGTCCTTTGGTAATCTTCGTGCATACACTTGATAAACCTTATATATGAAAAATGAAAGAATAAATAATTACAAGTAGTTATAACAAACTATTATATAATAGCTATCATAAAACATGCTCTTTGATTGGTCAAATGTTATTGTTTATTTCACCAATAAAGCACAAATGTGAAAGTGCTATAATGTAAAAAATATGGCTTGAGATTTTTTACGCCTTTTTCATGTTCTACCAACATCCTGCATGGTTTATTTCAGCAGGAATGCACAAAAATGTGTTGTTTATTGCTTAATTTTCTGACAAGTGTGTGGGGACGGGAGGGATCAATATGGCTACTGGTATCTTTTAGGGATAAAAATAATGCTGCCATAAGACTCTAGCATCTTAAAGTAATCATTTTATACCTGTTTGGTTCTTTCTCTTAGGAATTTATTTTCATAATGAGGGTGGTTTGTGATATGTCTGTCTGTACACAGMTTGACACCAGCCATTAGCTGCATGCTRCCAGTAAAGGCTGAATCAGGTGGTGTGTTGGTTCTGTAAACAGATAAAATACTCTCAAACGAAGCCTCATCTCTTTGCGACTGGATGTGATTGGTTTAAATGGCTTAATTAACATGCACCTCAAAGCAATTTAACATGGATAACAATAGTCACAAAGAATCATTATATGGGCCAGTCAGCACCAATCGGAACAGGTCTCACAATAGATAAGTCTTCCAAGAATAAAACAAAATCTAACCTAACAAAAGAGCTGCTGGTGGGAGCTAGCAGYAAACTAGTGTCAGCTGCTGTACTTATAAGGTTTCAACCAGTGCTGTATAATACTGCATTATTTTGGCAATGATTTCAACCCACTTAGAGGTGATTTAAGCATTGCAACAAGTAGGTTTTAACATTCACAATACCTTATCCAGTTCATAAGCTCTACCGTATCAGGATCATGRAATTCCTTTAATTCTTTGAGTTCCTCCATTGCTTGTGGCAATTTCTATGACAAATTTATTAAAAATGTTTTTATCACATATTTTCAAAGCGTAAGGGTATACTTAACAGGGTTTTTGTTCATACTTACYCTGCTGACAAGAATTGCCAGTAAGAGTACTGGCACTCCGTGGCTTAACACATTCCTCTAAAATAAAGAATAAAACAAAACTAAGTCATTTCTTTGTTGCTTTCCAGGTTGAACATCTTAGCAAGATCTTGTAAGATCATGGAAGATCTTGGAAAAGCCTTGGCAAGGACATTTCTTGCCAAAATTTGGAAAGATCATGCCATAAACTTGCCATGATCTTGATAAGAATTAAGCAAGATCTTTCTTCCATACATTCTTACAACAAGTCAATTTGATACACATTCGATACACTTTATACGCATTTGATTCATCCTAAACACATAACAAGTCAATTCAATACACTCAATACGAACTCGATCCACCCTATATACCTAACAAGTCAATTCGATACACACTAGACCCACCCTAAACACATAACAAGTCAATTTGATACACTCAATACGAACTCGATCCACCCTATATACCAAGTCAWTTCRATACACATTCGATACACTCCATACACATTCAATCCACCCTGTATATGTAAAGTAATTAGTTGTATTTGTTTTACTAAATATCAAATAGATTAAATATCTGGTAGTTGTAGCTAGTAACATTATACCATCATGCAAATTTCCTATTATCAACTTGGTAATATGAATAGCACCTGATAAAGTCGATGACTAATAATTATTTATTTAATTTATTTTTAATTTGTTTTAATAATTAGCACTCACTATGGCATATTTAATATTAATCTTGGACATCAAATATCTCCAAAAGCCTTGATGACAGAACAGACCAGCACCATACAAACACATGTTTGGAGTCCACAGAAATTTAAACCTCAGGGTAGAMACAGCCATTACACCAAACATYACCGTTTGTATWGTATGGTACACCAACTCAGGCTGGTCATTCAAAGGGAGGGAAGGGAGGGTGGGGACAGGTTTTGTATCATCATCTTTCTTGTCTGTATTTTCTTCAGTCTTCTTGTCGCTGCTTTAAAAACAGACAATAAAAATTAGTTTCATCTTTATGTAACTGTTTCTATTTATTTATTTATTTATTTTATTTTATTTGCTTTGTCACAAGGTGACTGGGAAGACGCAACAGTGGGTAGCCATTTACTGCAGGCCCTTAGAAGCTAGTGTTTGGATTCCTGTCCCATGGGCTGCGAATTAAAGAGCCTTCAATGACCTAGCTTAGAYAGTGGGTGATCTTGAAGAATTTTTCTCATGTATGCCTTTACCCTGAGCTACGCTGTACAGTAGGGAGGAAGGTCATCATACATTAACACCTTCTGGATACCTGCTTATTTAGCAGATAAAATCCATACATTCAAAATCTACATTACTTTATTCAATGGATACAAGTTTATCTCTCTCTTAGTGTCAAATGTAAATTTATGTTATCTCACCTCCAGTTCATGATAACAGTATAGCACAGCATTACCACTGCCACGGTCAACGAGATGACATAACAAGGGAAGACTATACCATCTGTTAGCCTTGTGTATGTGTTATATGGTAACTTTTGAAAGGCTCCCTCACATAGGTACAACAAAGAATCAAAATCCCTGTAAAAAAACAACAATAAAATGACATTAAAATATTTGACAAAATTAATAAATTAAGAGGATTTCACGTCCAGAAATTTGGAAGTTATCAAAAGGAAGAAGTSTAAGAGCTCTCTTATCTAAGTTGCAAAGTGTTTACTAGGGTAGAAGCTCATTCACAAGCTAAGTTTACCTTCCAATATCAAAACCACACTTGGCTTTAACAAACTTGAAAATATGCTCATCAGACTCCACTTTTAATACAAACTATTGAAACCAAACACACATCAAATAGATTAGTCACAGTCAAATGGGATTCCTGATTGATCAAATATTACCTTGATAAGAGCACTAATGGCTGCCATCATGACAAGAACTGCTACAATGTGTAACAGAAGCTTGAATAATTTGATGATAAAATGTCCTTTTGAAGGTTCATCAGTCTAGAAAGAGAATAACAATGACTATCACTATACTATCTGTAAGTAAAGTGAATGAAGGCAGACAGATGATGTCTGTAGATTTTTTTTTTTTTTTTTGATGTCTGTAGATGCTCAAGTTTCAGACCAGTACAATTAGCATCTCCCACACAAAGTGAAAGATTTTACTATAGAAACTGAAGTTTGTCTAGCTTGCATAGCTCTTTCTCCCATTTTCAAACACCCACTCCCTATGATATAGCTATGTAATATGCTAAACACTGTTCAACAACCAACTCTTATTATTGCCCAGTAAATATAAAATAATTATTGAAAAGACTAATCTTGGTTGTTGAACAGTGTGGACAATAAATTTATGATATCTATTAAGTATTCATAATTATAATTGATATAGAGAACTTACTTGGAAAGCCATGAGAATCAAAGCACCAAGACAGAATGACAAGGCAAGTGAACACAGCATCATGTCATTCACAAACATCAACAAACAAACACTAACGATGGAGAAGATCACAATTAAATACAGATTTCTTATCTGTGGATGACAATTACAAGAAAAATAATAAATAGATGAATGTCAGATAGTTGCTGACTCAGAAATGAGAAATGAAATTAATGGGAAATACAAGATATTAATGGGTGATGCAGTGAATGGAAAATGACAAGATCAATAAGAAATGGAATGAATGGAAAATGGAAGAAATGAATGAGAAATGAAATTAATGGGAAATAAAAGAGATTAATGTGTGGAGATAAATGAGAATTGAAATGAATGGGAAATGGAATAAATGGATGGGAAATGAAATTATGGGAAATGAAAAAGATGGAAGKGAAACGCAATGAATGAATAAGAAATGCAATTAATACCTTGAACTTAGGGGCAAATCCAAGTGAGTAGACACCAAAGAAAGCCATACATTCAAGTAACATTACAAACTGAGCAAATTGCCATACGAGGGTGAAGCAAAACGTACACTTGATTATAAACCATAAGCAAACATACTAAAACACAATAAATTGATATGATTTATCAATTATGTTGTTATTAATCATTATAMCAAAATGGATTCAATGACAATTCCACCTCCTGTTCTAATAATTATTATTAAAATATATAATGTTGTTTTTTTTTTAATTACCTGTGATAATTTTGAGATATCTTTTTTTAAATAGTATGTTATTGATGCAATTTGTACAAAGAGAAAAGGAAAMCCAAAGCTCTCTCTAAGGGGTATAGTAAAGAACATTCTCGTTGTATCCCATCTGTTCAAAGAAAAATAGAGAGAGAAAACACAATATCAGAGAGATTGCCTACTTAAACAAGGAACAGTCCATTATGACAACATTGACAGCACTTTGACTGATTTCAGCTTTCAAGTAATGCATTTTTGGCTTAAAATTATAGACACAACTTTATAGCAAATTAAACTAGCTATAAGCAATTACAGAATACAGAAATGAGAGAAATTTTTGTCCTTACTTGTTAAAAATAAAAAAGCCRGTTGCTAAGAGACCAGCTAGGAAGGAACCACTTAGTAACCATGACGACACAAACAGGGCAACCATATACATTCCATGGAGACCAAATATGGTATTGATGTAAAAATAGACGTACTCCATAGAACTCTTAACAAAACGGRAAACATTTGACATTCAATTAAAGTTGGTCATATTTTCTACAGATTGAGTGGATTTTGCTCTTATTTATGTTACAAACAGAGACAAAAGTCTCAATATCTATCTCAATTTTTATTGGTTGGCTCATTTGGGSCAGCCAATAAGGAAAGAGGAGAATTTTAATTTAATCAACATATCTGCCTCTATWACAGCCATGAGTCTTACCTGCAAATCTAGAATTCTGTAGATTATRGCTAATATAACCTCTTGATAAATATTAAATCTTTCAAGTATATTAATAGTTCTTAGGTGTTCTGTTGCATTATCRTGGGTTAGCTCATAGAGACCTTTGGAAAAGAAGAATTTTTATAATTATCTAACAAAACTTTCATTAAAAGATAATTATTAATAAATAATTAATTAATATAATATTACTGAATATATAATCAATTAATAATAGAAGCCTACCTTGTGATATGGATGGTGCAAGGACCATTTGTTTGTAGTATGAGAAATATAAACCAGATTCAGTTCTAAATGAAATTTCTCGTTGAATTTGCTGAAAGTTAACAAATCAAATAAATAATAAATTATTGTTCATGTGCAATAATAATAATAAAGTGACAGTGAGGGTTTATTTTATATGCTGGAGTGTGAAAAAATTATAAAGTTGCCTGTACATGCTATCAAAGATTGTTACATGTAAAATATAATACCGATAACATTAGACAAGGGAATATAGACCATACAAATCATGTATTTCATTTTCACGGTTAATATAGCATAAATAAATCAATAGGGCCATAAACCATTATACAATATAAATAATTAATAGCTTTAAAAGTTGATGTTAGTAAATGTTGTAAAAATATATTTTTTGGGGTTGTCATGGATACTAGATAATAAGTAAACTTATGTACAATTTACTACTAAAATTTCACCTGTTAATTTTAATTTTATTAATATAAAATTCGCTCCAATTTTTATTTCTATATATACCAGAAAACAAAAACTCTTTTCAGAAACAACAACACATTGAATTTATGGTACATTCTCATTATCTTCATCTGTTGTTTTCACACAATAATTTACCATTTGACATACATATTAGCTTTTCCATGTTGTAGGCCAATTTGGGTTAGTTTAAAACCATGATTACAAGTTGTTTAATACATGTGACATCCCRGAAAATGTGTGGCTCATAAGAGATTTGAAAATATGAATTCCTTGTCAGAATTTTAACAYAAATTTAAAACACTGGAAGTCTCCATTCACAAGGAAAGGAAATACCAGCTGGTTGTTCAAATCAATGGTATTCTTTATGCTTCTTGGCAGGGGAGAAAAAAGGCTYAGTTTACAAAAGAAGGAGATAGAGAAATATTGAAAAAGCATCTAAAATTGTTTGATTTTCTWGATCTAAAGCCAAATACAGCTGTTAATTTATGGAAATAAATGTACATGTAATTATATTGACTATTGAAAGGTGAATAAATGGAAAAAATGAATAATTTAGTATCTTTTTATAGTCCTTTCATTTTTAGAATTAAGAGGGAATAAAAACACAATAAAACCAAATATTCATGATAAATCAAAGTATTTTTGTATGTCAAAATTTCTTGCACTGGACGATTTAATAGTCACTTCCAATCTTTATATTSTATTTGACCCTCTGGCCCTAAAAATAATTTTTACTGTTTGAAATCTCCTAGCAACATTCGACAGAAATAATTAAAATTCAAACAGCTGACTAACTTCTCAATAATCTATTCYTAAGTGAAAATCAGAAAAGTAGTATCAT